ATTGTTGGGGACCAAGAAAAAGACCCCCAAAAGAACATGATTGCAAGGCACATGTTCTAATTACAGTGAAGAGATGACAAGGCCTCTCTTGTGATTTGAGTGTTTGCTTTTAGACATGGCAAGGTCTCTCTCACTGTTAAATACTTAATCAGCAAAACATCAAAGTATTAAAAGTAGATGTTATTCTCCATGTTTTTTATCTCATTGGGATGTTTCATACTTTGGGTCATTGTATCCTAGTAAACATTTATCGTTTTACACTCCTTATTCCTGAGAAGATTTCTGTGATTGCTTTAATGACCACCTGTTGTCCTTGAACATGTAGAGGAGTAAAACTTTAGCTCTGTAGAGAATAAGCTGACTGTACATAGGGCGTCCGCCTGGCCCCCCTTCCTTAATAAATAAAAAAAGAAAACTATTAATCCTTTCATGTTGCTTCATTTTGTGACCTGTGCAGTTTTGCTAGACGCAGCACCAGATACAAACCTAAATTCATCAAGAAGGCAGCTCAAAGAGATATAAACAATTACAGTAAAACCTGCAAAAGCTGGAACCTGTAAAGGTAGGAACCTGTCAGAAAAGGAGAGCACAAGTATTTTCCATTCACAGCAATAGGAAAGTGGTAAGACTGCAACCTGTCAAAGGTGGAAAACTTTCAAGATCAAGAAAAACAAGGCAGCCCCATCAAGTCCCAGCTCTTACAGGCTTCACTGTAACTCTAAGGAGGGTAAAGTTACCAAACACGAGCAAGCTTCTCTCCTCCACAATATAACCTCTAAGGCAGGAAGGTGACCAATATATGAAACATCCGAAACTAATTAAAACAAGAGTTTTATTCATAAAAAATATGGTTAATTATCCAGACCATTCCATTCCTCAAACATTCTAATTAATTACAATTTAAAATCTACATTGAAATCTCATTATACAGCTACTCACTCAAAGTCAGTTGTATGCATGCTTTGGAGATATTGCAGGTTTGGTTCCACACTATTGCAAAAAAGTGAGTATCTCAATAAAGTGAGTCACATGAAATTTTTTATTTCCCAGTGCATATGAAAGTTATGATTACACTATACTAATATGCTACATTAGTCTATTAAGTATGCAACACTACTAGAAAAACTTTGAAATATTGTGAGAATTACCAAAATGTGACACAGAGACAAGAAGTGAGCACATGCATTTGGAAAAGTGGTGCTGATAGAGAGACATGCTTGATGCAGGGTTGCCACAAACCTTCAATTTGTAAAAAATGTTAGCATCCACCAACTGCAATAAAGCCAAGTGAAACAGAGTGTGGTATGTGCTTGGATCACAGAGTAGATTTTTGTACATTTCATCTAGAAGGAACATAGCTCTGTTGTGTCCTCTGTAAGGCAGCTCAGACCATGAACACCCTCGTCATCTCCAATGCTGGAATGAGGCCTAATAATTACATTACTGTTGGCAAGTAGCTATCCAGTAGGACTTTTCTGGGGGTGGGGAGGATGGGAAACACTAGTTTCCGAGAATTCTGATGTGAAAATCAGAGTGAATGAGGTTTACATTAAGGAGAAGCTGTAAAGCCTGAAAGGTCTCTTAACCAGAAGCCTTTAGAATGGAGATTGACACGTCCCATGCTGAGCCCTAATGCCTCCAGGTAGATTGACATGTCCCATGCTGAGCCCTAATACCTATAGTAAATGTCCCATACCTCAGAGCCTTTTATCAGAAATCTGCATGGCTCCAAGAAGCCTCTCACCCACCTTTGAAGACTATGAGGGCTCTCACCCCTGGGTTTTCGCAGAGAATATGCACATATCAAAGAGATCCGCCTGGCCCGAGAAATCTCTCACTCACCTTTGAAACCGGGGGAATTCCAACCTGCCCCAAATTCCCAAACCCCTATCATAAAAACCAAATTATCTACTCCACCCTATGTTTCTCTATAAATATTTCTTAATGTAAGAGCACGGGGTCTTTTGCTCAACCCACTGCGAGGGTGAAAGCAAGGACCCTAACTTAAGTTAGCTAATAAACTTTCCTATTGCTTTTTGCATTGTTGCATGTTGGCAATTTATTCACCCCGAACTACTCCTTCATAACCTGGGCACAACAAAGCTTATGAATTTCTTTACAAGGTCCTTACCCCTGGGGCCTCCTCAATGATCTTCTGATGTCTCCTCTGTACACTGCAGTCTCTTTCAAATAAATACACAGCATTGCCATGGTGGTCACCAAACACCTGGACTTCAACATGCCTATTTAAAAGCAAACACACAGCTTAATAGACTTGGTTAAGAGTGACATCATGAAGCCAAACTGTAGGGCAAGATGACCAAGACTCCCCTCAGTATTTTTTTTTTAAATAAGAAGAGAGATCTTTACCTCCAAATAGAGGTTACAGATTTTAAAGAACTATAGTTACTCTTATAATAATTTAATGAAAAGGTTTCTATTTGGGGGATGAACTTTAAAGAAAGAAAGAAAAATTACTTTCCTAACTAGAACAAAACTAATTTTAAATGGGGGGAGGGGAAGGGAAAAGGAAATTATTAAGAAAGCACAAAGATAACAATTAAAATCACCTTTATTTCCATCACTCAAAGTTAATTCCTATTTATAGTTTAGTGTATATCTTTTTAGATCCTTTCAATGCATATAAATAAGTGTGTTATGTTAAAAATAGAGCATTAGGATTATACTTTACAAAAGTTTTATAACTTGCTCAGAAAGGGGAAAACTTTAAATTTTATTTATTTTGTTGTTGTTGAGAATATACACAGCAAAACAGACACCAACTCAGTTTCTGTGTGTACTGTTTAGTGACACTGATTGCATTCTTCGAGTTGTGTAACCATTTTCACCCTTCTATTTTGAGTTTTTACTCCTTCATTAATACAAATGCATTGTCCCCAAGGTTCCTATCTAATCTATCAAGTTCCAATTGGCAATTTGACCCCACATGGATAGTTCTTGAAAAATCATAATGCTCAAAGCAGCCTTTTTTTACTAGTTGTTAGGTGTCATCGAGTTGGCTCTGACTCACATCGACCCTATGCACAACAGAATGAAACAGTGCCTGGTCCTGTGCCAGCCTCACAATCCTTGCTATACCTGAGCCCATCATTGCATCCACTGTATCAGTTCATCTCATTGAGGGCCTTCTCCATCTTTACTGACCCTTCACTTTACTAAGCATGATATCCTTCTGAAAGGAATGGTCCCTTCTGACAACATGACTAAAGTAGGTGAGACAAAGTCTGGCCATCTTTGCTTCCAAGAAGCACTCTGGCTGCACTTCTTCCAGGACTGATTGTTCTCTTGGCACGGTACTTTCGGTATTTTCTGTCAACACCACAACTGAAAAGCATCTACTCTTCTTCGGTCTTCCTTGTTCATTGTCCAGCTCTCATGTGCCTATGAGATGATTGAAAATATCATGGCTTGGGTTAGGCACACCTTATTCTTCAAGGAGACATCTTTGATCTCCAGCACTTTAAAGAGGTCTTTTGCAGCAGATTTGCCCAGTGCAGTACGCTATCTGATGTCTTGACCATTGCTTCCATGGGTGTTGACTGTGGAACCAAGAAATATGAAATCTTTAACAAATTCACTCTTTTCTCCATTTATCATGATGTTGTTTATTGGTCCACTTGTGAGGATTTTCATTTTCTTTATACTGAGAGGTAATCCATACTGCAGACTGAAGTCTTGAATCTTCATTAGTAAGTGCTTCAAGTCATCCTCACTTTTAGCCAGCAAAGTCGTATCATCTGTGTATCACAGGTTAATGAATCTTCCTCCAATCCTGATACCATGTTCTTCATATAGTCTAGCTTCTCGGATTATTTGTTCAGCATACAGGTTGATTAAGTATGGTAAAAGGATACAACCCTGATACACTCCCTTCCTCATTTTAAACCATGCTGTTCAAATGATAGCCTCCTGGTCTATGTACAGGTTCCTCATGAGTACAATTAAGTGTTTTGGAATTCCCATTCTTCTCATTGTTATCCATAATCTTTATGATCCATACGATTGAATGCTTTTGCATAGTCAATAAAACACAAGTAAACATCTTTCTGATATTCTTTGCTTTCAGCCAAGATCCATCTGACATCAGCAATGATATCCCTTGTTCCACGTCCTCTTCTGAATCCAGCTTGCATTTCTGGAAGTTCTCTGTCAATATACTGCTGCAACTGTTTTTGAATTATCTTCAGAAAGATCTTACTTGTGTGTGATATTAATGATATTGTTCTATAATTTTCACATTCTATGGGATCACCTTTCTTTGGAATGAGTACAAATATAGATCTTTTTCAATCAGTTGGCCAGGTCACTGTCTTCCAAATTTCTTGGCATAGACAAGTGAGTGCCTTGAGACAAGTGATGTTTTGTTGAAACATCTCAATGGGTATTCCATCAATTCCTGAAGCCTTGTTCTTTGCCAAGTCATTCAGTGCAACTTAGACTTCTTCCTTCAATACCACAGGTTCTTGATCATATGGCACCTCCTGAAATGGATAAACATCAACCAATTCTTTTTCGTACAGTGACTGTGTATTCCTTCCATCTTCTTTTGATGTTTCCTGCATCATTCAATATTTTCCCCCATAGAATCTCTCAATATTGCAACTCGAGGCTTGAATTTTTTCTTTGATTCTTTCAACTTGAGAATGCTGCATGTGTTCCTCCCTTTTGGTTTTCTAACTCCAGGTCTTTGCACATTTCATTATAATAATGAAAAGACTATGTCTTTTCGAGCTGCTCTTTTAAATCTTCTGTTCAGCTCTTTTATCTTGTTATTTCTTCTATTTGCTTTAGCTACTCTCCATTCAAGGGCAAGTTTCTGAGTCTCTTCTAACACCCATTCTGGTATTCTCTTCCTTTCCTGTCTTTTTAATGACCTTTTGCTTTCTTCATGGATGTTCTTGATGTTATCCCACAATTCCTCTGTTTTTTGGTCATTGGTGTTCAATGCATCAAATCTGTTCTTTAGATAGTCTCTTAAATCAGGAGGGATATAATCAAGGTCATATTTTGGCTCTTGTGGACTTGTTTTAATTGTCTTCAGCTTCACCTTGAACAAGCATATGAGCAACTGATGGTCTATTCCACAGTCCACTCCTGGCCTTGTTTTGTCTGAAGATATCAAGCTTCTCCATTGCCTCTTTCCACAGATGTAGTCAATCTGATTCCTGTGTACTCCATCTGGTGAAGTCCACATGTGTTGTGTTGTTGTTTGTACATGTTTGTGTTGCAGAGGAAAGGTATTTGCAATGAATAAGCAATTGGTTTTGCAAAATTTTATCATGTGATCTCCAGCATTATTTCTATTACCAAGGCCGTATTTTCCAACTACCAGTGATTCTTCTCTGTTTCCAACATTTCCACTCCAAACACCAGTGATAATCAACACATCATGATTGCATGGTTGGTCAATTTCAGACTGCAGAAATTGGTAAAAAGCTTCAATTTCCCCATCTTTGGCTTTGGTGGTTGGTGCATAAATTTGAATAATAGTATTAACTGGTCTTCCTTGTAGACATATGGATATTATCCTATCACTGACAGTATTGTACTTCACGATAGATTTTGAAACATTCTTTATGATGATGAATGTCATGTCATTCCTCTTCAATTTGTCATTGCCAGCATAGTAGATCATATGGTTGTCTGATTCAAAATGGCCCAAACCAGTCCATTTCAGCTCACTAATGCCTATGATATCCATCTTTATACGTTCCATTTCATTTCTGACAACTTCCAATTTTCCTAGATTCATACTTCATACATTCCATGTTCTGATTATTAACAGATGTTTGCAGCTGTTTCTTTGCATTTTGAGTCATGCCACATCAGCAAATGGAGGTCCCAAAACCTTTACTCCATTCACATCAATAAGGTCAGCTCTACTCTAAAGAGGCAGCTCTTCTCCAGTAGTATTTTGAGTGTCTTCCAACCTGAGGGGCTCATCTTCCAGCACTATATGGGACAATGCTTCAGGGCTATTCATTGAGTTTTCCAGTAATATATCAGACAGTGTTTCACCACTATTCATAAGGTTTTCACTGGCCAATTCTTTGAGAAGTGGTTGGCCTCTTCCTTCCTCTGTCTTAGTCTGGAAGTTCCACTGAAACCTGTCCACTATGGGTTACCCCGCTAGAATTTGAAATACTGGTGGCATAGCCTCCAGCCTCACAGCAACACACAAACCACCACAGTATGACAAACTGACAGATGAGCTTTTTACTAGTTAAGGTAAGCTATTGTTTAGTTTTAAGAAGAGTTCAAGGGATATTTTTAGTTTAAGGTTTAGAGATTATCTCAGGGCAACAGTTTCAGGGATCTATCCTCCATGGCTCCAGAAAGTATAGAGTCCATGAGAATTTGAAATTCTATTCTGCATTCCCCCCCTTTTGATCAGAATTCTTCTATGGAAATCTTTCATCAAAATGTTCAGTAATGGTAGCCGGGCACCATTCAGTTCTAGTCTCATAGTAAAGGAGGCAGTTAGTCACACATTCTGTATCCTCCTCCTATTCTTTCTCTTCTTCCTCTGTTGCTCCAGTGAATAGAGACCAATCAACGTTGTGTTCTGGATAGCTACTTGCTAACTTTTAAGACCACAGGCACTACACAGTGAACTAGGAGTTAGAACAGAAACACTGAACACATTAGACCAATTAACTGAGATGTCCCGTGAAACTATGACCATAAACCTCCACACCAAGGAACAAAATCCCATAAAGTGTTTGGTTGTACATAAGCAGCTTCAGTGGCTATTCTTTTTATTTACTTTGGTCTCTATATGTTTGTCTTTTCTTGTCTTTTGTGTAAGTGAAGTCAAACAATATTTGTCATTTTGTGATTGGCTTACTTCATTCAGCATAATGTCTTCAAGCACCATTTATATTATAGCATGTATCCTAACTTCATTTTTCGTGGTTCAGTAGTATTCCCCTATATGGATGTACCACATCTTGTTTATCTATTCATTTGCTGATGGACATTTAGGTTGTTTCTAGCTTTTGGCTATTGTGAATAGTGCTATAATAAACACTGGTGTACAAATCTGTATTTGAGTCTCTTCTTTCAAGACTTTTGCATAAACCTAGGGATGGAATTGCTAGGTCATATGGCAGTTCTATTTTCAGTTTTTTGAGGAATTGACACATTGTTTTCCATACTGGCTGTACCATTTGAATACCTACCAGCAATGGATAAGGGTTCCAATTTCCTGATCCTCACCAAC